GGAGTTGGTGTGGGGCTGCGCACATTTCCATGGTCATTTCAGTTTTGATACATCTGGAGTTTTGTGTGGAAAAGGGCAAATGCAAGTTTTTTTTTTGTGCATACGCAACGTTGACACGAGGCCCCTGATCTGGAAATGTTAGTATTTTGAGCTGAATAAAGAGTTTGTATGATCCCTATAACCTGTATTGTGAATGATAAGAACTGCTTTCTTCTGAAGGATAAAAAGTGAATGTAATATTTTATAGTTGTTGCCCCATATTCCCTAAATAAGGTGAAACTAGGGAACAATAGAGGATATGAGGTAATGTCTGATCTAATACCTGCCTGGCCTTATTCAGCACTGCAATGCTTCTTGATGCTTTAGAATGGATGTGTTTAATATGTGCTTTCCAAACAAGTCTCTCATCTACGATTTCACTTACTTGTTGTAAATCAATTCCATTTATTTGAATCTTTAACTGAGTATTTGATGTACTACGTCCAAACAACATTATTTTAGTTTTATTAAAATTAAGTGATAATTTATTTCTATCAAACCAGATCTTTAATTTATTGATTTCAGCCATCMTGTTATCTAGCAAATTCTGTAAGCTGTCACCAGAACAAAAAACACTTCAGCAAATAGCTCCATTTTTAACATTTTGGAAGCATCACCAARGTCATTGATTTATTAAATTTTAAACCAATTTAAAGCTAACAATTCCTTAACATTCCAGTTTATCAATTAATATATCATGATCTATTGTGTCATAATGATGWTGATCTGTTTGATCTAAATCCATACRGACTGTTATTCAGGAGTTTTTGRTTGTCTTTAACATGGTCTAATTGACTGTTACACAGTTTTCTTGTAAATGAAGTTACAAACTTTGCAGGCAGAAAGGTGTAATTAACTGTTTTGAGTATTTTTCTCTGTTCAGTTTGATGCAACTGCTGCAGTATGAGTGTTTCTTTTTGATAATACTAACATTTTAATGTTATGCATACCCATGAAATCAGTGGTGGGCACAGTTCCCCTAAAGCACTAAAGCACTAATAGGGGAACTAATTTCCTGATTAGTACTTTAGGGCTTTTGCTAATTTTAAAATGTATTAGTGCAGGGGTGCCCAAACATTTTCCCCAAGAGGGCCAAAATGAAAATCTATCTGGGGCTGCGGGCCAAA